AATTCTAAAACATGTCTGAACATCACGACGACAATACTGAAAGAGGTGGATAATATGGATAATGTGCTGCTCGTAAGTGCACAATACAGTTCAGAAAATGAAGAAATTAGTTCAACAAAATGAAGTTTAATTTAGTTCAAATTATTCCTTCTCTCTACTCTAAGAATGTGTAATTTAAAATCAATTAAACTTCAATAATCTTCCTTAACAGTCTTCCTTTTTCTGACACAGATTTTTATTTGGAGTTAAACATCGTCTAGTTTAGAGGAAATTCTGGGCTACAAAATAAGATCATCAAATTTTCTTAAAGCTAAAGTTGGAAGTTCATAATGAGACCACTTCCAAAATTTTCCAGTTGATTTCGCAGCGATATAAGCATAGCCACAAATGCCCTGCAAAAAGCGACCTATCTAATGTTACTTGTAACCCTCAACCTATTAGTGAGTCAAATTCAGTTTACCTTCTGGTTTTTCGAAAAAATAAATTAAGCGCAAATTTTTACCACAAATACTTTAGACTATACGTCAGGTTCCTCAAGTTTTTTTAAAATCGTTTTCAATCTCAACTTTGGCCGTGAGAAGGTTTTTAAATTCAAAAACTGCTCTTTAGAGAGGACGTTCAGCATTTTTTGAATATTTCGAGAAAGACAATATGTTTTTCGAAAAAATAGAGTCTGAGATAGAGTCCAAAGTGTCTGTGGCAAAGACTTGATTGGGCATTTTGTTCGAAGCATCGTAACACGAGTGAATGAAAACCAACGTCTCCAGAAAACCCGTAGAAGAACATGTGAGGAACTTCTAGATAAAAATACATCGATTTTCTTTTTTGAAATTCTATTTCTGGTAAAAGTTTGCATTTAGTCGTACTGTTAATTCTATCTTTGCTAACAGAATGAGAAATGAGAGAGGCGTACTCTTAAACAAAATGCAGTTGGTATTGATCAAGTGTTAGATTCAGAGTTGTTCAGCCAGAAAGTTCAAGGTTTCGATAAACCGAGATTTGTATTAAAAAAAGAAAGATTAAAACGTTTGACACCATGAATAAGAAAGAATTCATGCAAACTTAAATTTCCAGAACCAGTTGATGTAGAATTTAAAGATCCAAGAGGATGATTAAGATATCCGTTACATAACTAACAACAGACAGATGAATATTAGATGGGGTAGAAAGTTTTCGATTCGCGTTTACAAAAAACTCGTTCGATATATTTTATTTTTAAATAATTCAGAAACTTTTCTCATTTATTCCTCCGTCTGAAGAATAAAAAAGGGCACAGACTCGTATTCAATTTAGAAAATTTGAATAATACAAGTATTTTAAGCTCAATAATATACTTAACATAAAAATGTTAATTTAAGAAAACGATCTGGACATGCGACTAATAATATTCTTGAATAATAGAATTAATTTTTAATTGTTTGTATCATAATCCCATCAGAGATCAGTAAATCCTTATTTATTTAGCTTAAAATTTGTAATTAATTTCTTGTAGTTTGTTTTGAAGCCAATAGATTCGATCGATATGTCTTGAATGTCAAATAGATTTCAAAAAATTGACGCTAAATTTATCCCAGCAGATAACCGAGAGTGTAATTTGTTTATGTAAAATTTCTATTGTCTCACAAGGAACAACAGTTTATAAATTGTCAAAACTATTTACAATTTTAGATGTAGCGCCTCAAGCTATTATAGTTGATCTTATACAATATCAAAATATTCAGTTTTTTTTTTTTACTATCAAAGAATTATTAAGAAATAAAATATATGAAGCTATTAGGGATGTTCGGTTCTCGGTTCGGAAACAGGAATATAGAAACCGAATAAAAAAAAAAATCATCGTTTATATAGAACACAGAATTTTTCTGTTTAATATTTATTTAATATTGAGTTCAATCTTTTTTTGTGTTCTCTACTCCTTCGATTGCTTGCATATGATAATTTAGAATATTTGATGGATCTTTTGTCATCAATTTGTTATTCTTTTCTGTATGACAGCTGTCTGCCTACAGAATATCAAATCTATGAAATTCAGAAAGATATTTTTTCGTTCATATATAAATTTTGGCGGAACTTCCTGTGGATTTTTCATTCATTTGAAGTTTTGCGGGAGTCTATTGAAGATTATTGATAAGATAGTTAATTTTTTCAATTAATACTCAGCCATTTTTTTATGTATCGTCATGTTCAGTACGACCAAGCGTCATACTTCCTTCAGAAATTACTTGCATACATTGAAACCGATAAAAGTCTTACTACCATTTTCTAACAATAACAGCAATCTATTTGATGTATTTGACAGGCTAAAATAGTTTCTTGATTGAGTCCTTGCTGGACGCTCAATGGTAGCTTTTAACCAATCATATCTCAATATACTTTTGCGTCGCAAAATTGCTTTTTATTTCGCGGTTTCTTCTACAAATTTGATTACTTTCTAACTCGTCTACTATGGTATACGTAAGAGAAATTTTGTTCATTTGTCTTCCATACATTAGAAAAAAAAATCCTTAGAATTAGTTATCACGGGAAGGATATAGTTTAGTTCTAAAAAGAGATCGATTATTCTTGTAAGCTCACTGGTAGCGATCGGTAGTTTTTAATTTTGTTCATTAATAAAGTAAGTCTCTTTTACTTTTTGAAAAATTTCGATTTACCATAGTAGGGATGGGACAGTTCCAGTTTCTATAGTTCTTAAGAACTGGTCACCAGTTCAGTTCCTGTTGAACGGGAACTGACCACAGTTCTTTTCAAAAGAACGGAAACTGGTTATCGGTTCTTTTCAAGAATTCAAAATAAAATAAAACCGATGTAGCTAGTTATATTGACTTGGTTTAGTCAACTAAACACACCATCTACCTCTGGCGCACTACACAAAGTCAATATAAGTAGGTTCACCGGTTTTATTTCAATTTTAATTTTTTGAAAAGAACTGGTAACCAGTTCGTATTCTTTTTGAATGCGAACTGCTACCAGTTCCCGTTCAAAAGAACTGAACTTGAACTGTCCCACCCCTATACCACAGTTATCAATAAATTTTAAAATGTACATAGTGTTCTTAGCATTATATAATTAATCATCGACTCTTCTTTACCCGTTTTTAGATGATTCCCGGAAAAACGAAATGCCATTCATCAAATCGTAATTGTTCGCCATATTCAGGCTCCTCCTCATCACCTACAATTCATGGTTTTACATTTCCAAAAGTTTGTCTCTCAGCAACCCTGCCTTCATCCACGTCATTTACAGATTCTACAAATACCACTCGCCATTCAATTGTATGTCAAGAATATCAGGCACAGTTATTTCAAACTATTAATCATTTTCGTTTAAATGAAGCATTTACCGATGTAAATATTTATGTTGATGGTGTTGTTTTTCCATCACATCGTTTGATATTATCAGCTGCTTCACCCTATTTTCATGCGATGTTTTCATATAATTTTCGTGAATCAAAAGAAGGTAATGTAAGAATACAAGATATTACACCGTGGACAATGAAACGCATTCTCGATTTTATATACAATGGTCGAACAGATATTAATCAAGATAATCTATTTGAAATGCTTAATGCAAGTATTATGTTATCTATTAAGGAACTGACCGATTTATTAATTAAATTTTTATATTTACAAATTAATATTAATAATTGTATTCAAATTGAACAATTAGCCACATTATATTCGTTAGGTATGGTGGATAAAAAGCAAAAAACAACATTAACTAAATTAGCTTATTTCATTCTCTTTAGATACTCTTCGTCGCACAACTCTAATGTACATTGTTAACCATTTTATGTTATTATACGAACAAAATTTATTTGTTTATTTAAATGAACATACACTAATGGAAATCTTATCTGATGATAATTTAGATATACCAAAAGAGGAATATGTATTTGATACAATTATTAAATGGGTTAATTTTGATTTCAACGAACGTGAACAATATTTTCAAAGTTTATTCAAATTTATTCGTTTAAATAGCATTAGCGATATTGATTATGTTACCAAATATATGAGAAATGAAAAATTAATTGAAACACATCCAACATGTTTAAAAATTCTAAAAGATTTTTATTCAAATAATTTTACGGCAGATTTATTAGGACCGATCAGGTAAAGCTGCTCACTACTCAGACTTGAATTATTGATAAAAAAGACCTAGTCTTTAATGCAAACAAACATAACAATAACAAAAGTTGTGTTTATTTTTGTTTAGACCGAGTACTCAAATAAGATATCATTTATTACTTATTGAGTTATTAGATGAAAATATATGTGATGGTGAAGATGAAAAAGAACAAGAAACAAAAACTGATAATGAATTTACACTGACAAATAACGGTGATACATGTTGTTCAAGTTGTCATTCAATAGTAACTGATTCTGCCGCTTCCTTTTATCATAAATTTGCTGAAGAATTACGATTAGATGAACATTCAAAATATGATACAACGACTTCACAAAATGATAAATGTGAAAGTTTTGATCAAAGGTATGAGCATCTCTCTCTTCTTTATCTTCATAATGTTTTTATGTTATTATTGTCTTTTTCAAGATATACCACAAATCAAATTGATTTAACTCCGTCCATTACATATGGTGAAACAAAACACCGTCGGCAATGTTGTTATTTATATGCCTATGATTTTTTTCGTACACGTTGGCGGTCTCTTGGATATCTACCTGAAGCATTTTCATCTCTATCTTGTGTATCAACCGATTCAATATTCTATCTGTTTGGTGGTCAATTATCATCGGGTGAAATAAGCGATCGAATATGGCTATTTTCTTATTCAACATTAAAATGGCAGTTATCTCCAGTTAAAATGGTTCAACCACGATCTCATCATAAATGTATACTATTTCATAATTCAGTTTTATTATTTTTTGGTCAAACAAAAGTGTCTGGTGAAATTCAATCATGTAAAACTGTTGATATGTTTGATTTATCAACAGAAGTATGGACATGTTTATGTCAAACTTTACCCACATATCAATGTGAACCAATTGTGGCCACAAAAGATTGGTTGTTATTGTCAAATAGAAATGATACACAAATGTTACATACATACAAATTAAGAGACGATAAACAACAGCGATCACATATTTCAGAAGATTTATCCAGTCAACTTCAAGAACAAGATCACGATCGACTTAGTTCAGTATCATCGTTGGAAAATGACAATACATCAACTGAATTAATTCAATCGGCTAAGGCAAGTAACATCTCATTCTGTGCTTGCTATCTATTGAAAGAGCATAATTGAGATAAAATTCTACTATAACTATCGTAGAATTTTTAATGAGAAAACGGTAAAATAATAATTTTGAAGAGGCGAGCAAATAATGTCTTAATGGAATGATTTACAATAAATATATATTTTTTCAATAGATAAATTTCTATCTAGTATTCAAGCTGTGATTTTTATTGTTTTAAATATCAGTTTATTGTATATTTTTAGCCGCCAACCAATAATGGTTTCGTCCATCATTCTCATAATCAACAATTGATATCAGCTGGTTACTATATGTTACCAAAAAATGTTGGAAATTATTATTTAGTTACGGATCAAGATGATTTATATCTAGTCTATTATCAATCAAAACAAATTTATCGTTTTAACTTAGTTCGAAATGAAATTCTGCCAAAACAACCCATGTTATATTCATGTACAAATGGTAATTGTGTTCTTGTCGGTCGAAAATTAATTATAACTGGTATGGTGTCCATGTCATCGTCAAATATTACTGATGCTGAAAAAGAAGTTTTATCCACAACAATAAAGAATGATCAAAAATGGTTAATACAAATTTATGCTTTAGATGAAGATAGATGGTATTTATTAAATGAACCATTGCCAACATATAGAAAACATCTTCTCTTAATGGGAAAATTATCTTGAAATTTAACCTTATTATCGAAACTATCACTGAGAATGATCGGATCTTATCTCTACCTTCTTCCAGTAATCCAACGGAATCTTTTCGTTAAAAGTTTGATAATGCTTTTTAGCTTTTTTGCTCAATTTTCACGCATAAACACACACACACATGCACACAGTATATGTATAAAAAAAAGAACAAACAACACTCTTCGTTTTTTTCTAACGATTTTTATATACTTTTCTTTTGCACAAATTTTTTTTTCTTCCTCTTCATGCTATGTTTGTAAATATTGAATGTTTGAAATTGAGTGTGTCCAAAATTTCCATCTCTTCGTCTAATGATCTCTTAATGTATGTTTGTTTGTTAAATTGTTGTTTTTGTATACGATATTGCTTGTTAAATTTATAGAAGAAAAAAAAAAATGCACGACATATTGTTGATTGCTGTTTCTAATTTTGAAATCAAAACTTTGTTTTTTTGTTCCTCCTTTTCTACATTAATTAAAATTTATGAATAACAATATGCGGAATGAGTCATACATTCTTATTTTCATTCGGATATCCAGTTTGATTGGTACGCTGTTTTGTTCTTCTTAGAATTTAAATCAAAAACAAATTTATTTTATTTTCAATAATCAACAATAGCAAATACATCTTTGCGATATATTAACTATAAAAATATTAATGAAAAGTTTGAATTGGTTTGAAACTTGTTTAACCCTTTACCCCCGACAGCGGTTCCAGAAGAGTCACTGATGAAATAACTACTGGAATAGAGTATTGGTGTCTCCAATATGGCAATAGTATGGACAGATCGGTCAGGTGCACTCTCGCTTGTGCAGAGTAGTTTGGCCACTCCAGTGACGACCATTGGGGGGAATGAGTCCTCTTTTGGGCTTTTCGTAAATTTGATATAGTTCGACCAAAAAACATCGTAGAGAGCTCGGGGGGCATCTTATTTTGTAGAGAATTGTTTGCTATCATTCTATGTAGTTTGCACAAAATTTTATTCGCAGGTTCTAGGTGCTGAAAAACTACAGTGGTTACAAAAATTGATCAACTGAGTGTATTTTCGATTTTTTTCCACAGCCATAAACGCTAAAACGAATTCAATAGTGATCTGAGTATGGAATATTGTTTCCAACTAGGATTTGAGAAACTAAAAGTCATCGCTAGATTCCCAATAATAGAGTTTTCTAGAACACCAAAACCCTAGTTTTCCAACACCTAGAACCTGCGAATAAAATTTTGTGCAAACTATGTAGAATGATAGAGCAAACAATTCTCTACAAAATGAGATGTTCTCGAGCTCTCTACGATGTTTTTCGGTCGAACTATATCAAATTTACGAAAAGCCCAAAATAGGACTTTTTCCAGTCATTCATTCCCCTTCCCGCCCCCAATGAACACTACACTCCAGTGACCATTCTGTGTCATACCATCTCTTATCTACCTGGCTTTTCTGAAACTTTCGAAAGGCATTGATATTGGTAGTAGACATTACTGTCATTATATATCACACAATAGGTTATCAAGATATATCTTGTCTGTTGCACAGTGGGCATTTTTTGCTAGAGCAAGCGGACTTTAGCTTTATGAGTGAACTAAAATTTCATGAACCATCTTTTTATAGGTTTTTCATGATCCTCTTTCTAATG